TGTGTAAGCTTGAGAAATCCATCTATGGATTGAAACAAGCACCTCGCAGATGGAATCTTTGTTTCGATGAGAAACTCAAAGAGTTTGGCTTTTCGAGGAGTGAAGATGAATCTTGTGTATATGTCAAGGCTAGTGGGAGTATAGTTAGCTTTTTGGTACTGTATGTGGATGACATACTACTCATAGGAAATGACATCCCAACCCTGCAGGAAGTGAAGTCCTGGCTTGGGAAGTGTTTCGCTATGAAAGCCCGAAGAGAAGCTGCCTATATTCTAGGGATAAGGATTCTGAGAGACCGGAGTAAAAGTCTGATTGGACTCAGTCAGAGTACCTACTTGGATAAGGTGCTGAAGAGGTTCAACATGCATGATTCCAAGAAAGGGGAGTTACCTATCCAGAGTAATGCCAAACTGAGTAAGACTCAGAGTCCGAGTACAGAGGCTGAGATAGCAGAAATGAGTCGAATACCTTATGCTTCCGCGGTAGGATCAATCATGTATGCTATGACTTGTACTCGTCCTGATGTGGCCTTTGCATTGAGAATGGTCAGCAGATTCAGGGGAACCCTGGCAAGGCTCACTGGACTGCGGTAAAGAACATTCTCAAGTACCTGCGGAGGACTAAGGATTGGGTCCTTACCCTTGGTGGGAGTGATGACTTGAGAGTTGTAGGGTATAGTGATGCTAGCTTCCAGACTGATAGGGACAATTTCCACTCTCAGTCGGGCTGGGTCTTTACCTTAAACGGAGGACCAATTACTTGGAAAAGTTCCAAGCAGGAGACAGTGGCTGATTCAACTTGCGAATCAGAGTATATAGCGGCAAGCGAGGCAGCAAAGGAGGCAATATGGCTGAAGAACTTCATTGGAGACCTTGGAGTAGTACCAGCTATATAGGAGCCTATGGAAATTTTCTGTGATAGTGAAAATGCAGTTGTCTTAGCCAAGGAACCAAGGGATCACGGGAGATCCAGACACATTGACAGAAAATACCATTTCATCAAACATCGAATAGAAGAAGGACTCCTCGTGGCAAAGAGGGTATCATCGGATGAGAACCCAGCAGATCCCCTCACCAAGGGACTGAGTAGGGATAAGCATCTCCAGCATGCAAGGCGCATAGGGCTGAAGGATGATATTAGATTTAGTAGTTAGATAATTTTGAAATTTTTAAAGTATAATTGACATTTGATGATGAATAAAAGTTGCATTTATTTATGAGTAAAGTGTTGCTATCTTCTGTCGATCGTTTACTATTATTTCTTTTGCATGTTTTGACTTCCAAAAATTTTATGCTATGTTTTACATATTATTCAAATTATCCACAGTCAGTCATATGTTGGAAGTAGATATGAATTAAGACTGTCATGAAGTTGTCTTGTAGAGGGCGATGTGGTTAGACATAGCAAGAGATGCTACAACACTCATGAGTGCTCATAAGTTCTGAGTATTGGATTCAACCCACACTCACTGGTATCACTTCATGGAATTTATCTCGAGTGATCGTGAGACTGTAATATCATATAAGTCTTCAAACCTAGAAATATGACTTGTTGCATATGAGTTGGTTATGCATTGATCGTACGAAAACGCATTGGTAACTCGATGTTATAAAACGTGCTTTTGTGTGTGATTCAACAAGTAGTAGAACAAGCATATGAGTCGAAGTTTATCTATTCCTTCTTGGATTAGAAGCGATATCTGGGCCCCTCGATGATTTTGTTTTGACCTATGTACCGGGCCCGGTCAGAACTAAATTGATGTGTTCAATTAAGTTCTATGTCAAACAAATCGGAAATCGAGAAACAAACTGTTGGACAATAAGTAAGACATTGTTCCATGTATTTGTTCGGCTGATATCTAGAACAGAGGATTATATGATCACTTATCTTAAATGGCGTATCATCATCTTCTTAGTTCCGAGAGTCCTTGAAAAGAGCTACGATTGCTGATCGGTTCCTGAAGTCATACTTGCAGTTATAGTTATTAGACTTATCCAAGTGGGAGACTGTTGGATAAGGTGTCTAAGTCCATAACTATTTCTGGTATGTACTTGACCCGACCCGGCATGGTCCATTTGGGTTGCATGGCATCATGCATTTGGATAGACTAAATGAGAGAAATAACACTTGTGGTTTATTAATATATTATAAGTTCTAATATATTAATAATATTATTTAGTTAGTATTGATCAAGAATTAATCTAGAATTAATTAAGTGATCAAAAGAAGACTAATTAAATATATGGGTTGATTATGTAAATCATCCATAACTTGTATAGGGGGCTAAAGGCTTCATGGATTATCAAGTTGGGCTAAGGTCCATAGGATGCTCCATGGATGCTCCATGGGAGTTACAAACCCATGGGTCATGGAAATGAAGAGCCATGTTACATTCGGGTTTACATGGTGTAACCCTAAGTGTAACACACTATATAAGGAACATAACATCCACCAAAATCGGTTACACTAAAAAGAATAGAGGGCAAGCCGAATTTAGAAGTGTTGTACATTCTCTCAAAGTCATTCCAAAGCACTTGGTGTTGTGTGAAACATTTGAGGCATCACACTTGGGGTGCTAGGCTCTCAAGGTTTTTCAAGGAATCAAATAAACTACAAGGTATGTAATTCTAGCCATCCTTTATGTTTAAAGTTCCCCATGTATGCTAGATAGGATTATGAATCTTGGAAAAAGTATTTTGCATGTATTTTAGACAAACATAGATCCACGGTTTTCTAGGGTTGCATGTACACTTAGGAGTGTTAGAATGCTCAAAATCCATCGGTAAGTTGGAGTAGGAAGGTACGTACGTGTATGGAAACAAAAAATTGATGCTTCTGAGGGTGGTTATCTTCGCCTATGGAGTTCCAAGTTTGAACTAACAAGTTGTTTTTTAAGAAATAGATGGCTTCTACTTTGGAACATATTAAGGAGGAGTATTGATGGAATGGTAGATGATGGAGACAATCCTAATGGCCAAAAAATGAGCATGCCCACTTAGATGAGGACGATGAAGATGTTGGCGTCGAATATACGGTGCATGATCCCAATGTTGACTGGAAAGAGATGAGGCCCTGATTAGGAGACTGTTATGAATCCCCTGCTCAACTCAGGTGTTATTTAATAAACTATGCAGTCCATGGAGGATACCTGCATTATTTTGAAAAAAGTGATAGATTGATGGTTATAGCTAAGTGTGGTAGTGGAAGCAGTGACAATAAAAAAAATACAGTGTCCATTTAGGGTTGCAGTTGGATGGAAGTACAATGAAAGGACATTCCAGATTAAATTACGTAATGAACTTCATTTGTGTGCTAGGAATTATCAATTTGGTTCCCTAGTTACTAGCAATTAGTTATCCAAACACTACCTGAAAGATGTAATAATGAAGCCCAAGATGACATTGCTAGAGATGCAAATAGATGTGCTACAAAGGTTTTCGGTGAGTGTCTTTATTGGGCAATGCCAAAGAGCAAGGGCTACTGCAATGGGGATGATAGAATGGAAGTTAGAAGACCACTATGCTAGGGTTTGGGATTGTGGGTACTACTTGCTTGGTGGGGGTAGAAAGTAATCCGGGGTGTAACTATTTCAAGAGGTTTTATGTTGGCTTCAAGGCTTTCAGAGATAGATGGAACAGAGGTTGTAGAAGGGTGATACGACTAGATGTTAGTTTCTTGAAGGGGCAGGTAAAGGGGGGATTTTAACTGCTATTGGGAAAGATACAGACAACCATGTCTACCCAATGGCATGGGCAGTTGTTAATGTTGAGAATAAGGATAACTGGACATGGTTTATTGAGAATCTGGTTGCTGATTTGGATCATGGTGCTGGCAATGGATTGGTTGTTATCTCAGACCAACACAAGGTACATACAACACACATATATATATATATATATATATATATATATATATATATATATGTAACACTCATTAATTTTTACATTACCTGGGTTTGTTTGTTAGTTATAGGGACTTCTACACGCTGTGGCAGACCTACTCCCCCATGTTGAGCACATACAATGTGCTAGAAACATCTTTGCAAACTTTAGGAAGAAATACATAGGATTGGAGCTGAAGAATTTGTTCTGGGAAGCTGCTATGAGTACAGTGGAAGGGGACTTTCTTTCTACAATGGAGAAGATAAAGAAGACAACATAAACACGATACAACTATCTTATGGCAAGGAAACCTGAAAGCTGATGCAGAGCCTTCATTCCTCATGGGTATGCTTGTGAAGTAGTAGAGAAAGGCGTCTCAGAATGTTTCAATGGCATGATCAAAGAAGTGAGGAATAAGCCTCTACTTACAATGCTTGAGGAAATAAGGATTCTCCTTATGAAAAGGTTTTATCATCAAGGTCAAGAGGTATCCAAATGGAGGGGTAATTGTGGGCCTAAAATACAACCGAATATTGAGGAATTTGCGAAAGATATAAAGTAATGTTAGTTTTTATGGTCATGTATCCAAATGTATTATGTATTTATTGTTTGTGTGTAATTTTTTTGTTTTGTGTGTAGGTTGTGGATAGTGGTGTCAAGTGGAGGTGATGTGTTTGAGACAAGGTAGATTTAGCTACTGATACTTGCACCTGCAACTTGTGGATGTTGCAATCAATTTCATCCACAAAGATCTAATTCATGGTCAAATTGCACCTGCAACTTCTGGAATACCATGTCTTCATGGTCAAGTTGCAATCAATTTCATCCACAAAGATCTAATTCAGTTTATTTCTTCTTAGTTCAACAAGGACAAGTATGTTGCAACATATATGGAGAACATACTACCTTTAGGTGGAAGCAACTTGTGGCCAAGGATTGAGTTTATTAAACCACTACCACCCCGAGTTAAAAGGATGCATGGAAGACCCAAACTAAAGAGAGTGAAGCATGCATCTGAATCACCAGATGCCAAATACCCCTTACAAAGGTTAAAGGTGCCTAGGATTGTAAGGTGTGGAAAGTGCGAAGAGCTTGGGCATAATAAGATTTCATGCAAAAATGATGAGGCACCTAATCCCCCTGTCCCAAAAAGGAAGCTTGGAAGACCTAGGAAAGATGGGGGGAACTATATTTGACCAATTCTCTTTAGTTAGGCCTGCTATACCAAGAAGGGATGGTGCTCCTCTTGTTTCTGGATCTGGTGGTCAAGATGGTGCTCCTCCTGTTTCTGAATCTGGTGATCAAGATAGTGGTCTTGTTGTTAATCGTATGAAAAGGACTAAGATAATGGCAAGGAGAGGAAGGAAAAATAAGGTTTCTGGACCAATGCAAAAAACACCAAAGAAAGCCCATAGGGTTTTTGATGACTTTTTCACCCATACACGTAATGGTAAGCAACCTATGAGTCAAGTAAAGGAGGATATGTCCCTAAGTTGTGATGAGGCTTTTGATGACGCTTTTGCCCATACACCTAATGGTAAAAAACCTATGAGTCAAGAAAATGAGGATGTTTAGGAATAAGAGAATGACAATGTTGTGAAGGTGAATGAAAGACTAACTTTAAAGGATTTGATACAGTCTCGATATACACATGCTAATGTAGTGGATGCTATGAAAGAGGTATGTGTTGTTACATTATTTTGTTACTTTCATATTGTAGATTTACTAACTAGACTGACATATAGGTTTATGGAGAAGTTGAGGAAAGAGATGTTTAGGTAAGAGAGATTGACAAAAGAGAGGCTGAGGAAGGAGAAGTTGAAGAAAGAGAGGCTGAGGAAGAAGTAGTTGAAGAGAGAGAGGTTAGAGCAAGAGTGGTACCCTTGGGTCCTGGTTCTTACAATATCCGTTGGGAGAAAACGAGGACTCCCTGAGAAAGAATTAGGAAAATGAAGCTTAGGAAAATGGTTCAAGATCCTGATGGTGGTGGTTCTACCAATACCCCTTGGGTTTTTGATTAAGAAGTTGTGTTTTAAGTGTTGAATGGGTAGAATGGGCATTAGTAAATAGGTTGCCCTTTTTGTAAACATCTAATTTTGGTACACTTTTCTTTTGGTAACAAGCTTCCAATTCCTGTCCAAAATGTTTGGTAGAATTGGAAGTTTGGTTCTAACTAGGCTACATGGTATAATAGTGGTTTGTGGGAAGCTTTGTAAAGTACATTCCCATTTTTGGGCTGCTAACTGACATTAACATTTGGGAAGCTTTGTAAACTACACGGTATGATTGTTAACTTATCAATACATGTGCCTTGATCACTATAATTGTTGTTACCTTCCATGTCTTGGTTAGTTTGTTGAATAGCAAGATTTGGTCCTTTTTATACATATGTATGTGTTAAAGGTATTGCCATTACTATGATATAACAAATTGTTATCATGAAGACATAAAAAGTTGTTATCATTGCCATCTCTTACAAAACCAAAAAATTACCATACATAACACAAGCATCAACTTACTGTCTAACTTGACCAAAATACCCTTACACCTAAACTACTACTACCATTCCACCTGAACCTAACTAATCCCACAACCTCACAGTGCTTCAACCACAACATTGTGAACCATAAACCCCATTACAATCCCCACCACCAAAGGCATGACCATCATACATAGAACCACCTTCAACATGTTTAAAATATCCACTTGAACTGTTTTGTTGTTCATGCCCTCCTCTGAAAGCTTCAAAATCTCCATTTTAAATGCTCTATTGTTCTTAGTATCCTCCAAATCTATATGGAACTTCCACATACTTTCCTTGTAGTAAGTGTTTGGCAGTGATGGATCAAGCCATGAAAAAAATTCACACTTTTTTAGAAACATGCACAACAACCACTTCTTCATACTGGCTCAACAAGAAAAGAAAAAGAAGTGGGAAACTTGATATTACCTGATGCAACATCCCGATGATAAGATGCTTTTAATTTTAACCCTATGATTTATTTATCTTGCAATATGGACCCTAAGTATAAGAAAGAGGGAAATAAGTGCCCTAGTGGCATTTTCATAATTTTGGGTTTGGGAGAATACATCATGCATACGTGTGTACACTGAGCGTACTAGGGTGCACCTTAGTACGTTGGGCGTACACCTGTACGCAGGGTGTACGTTCCAGTCATTCAAACCCTAATTTTTAGGGTTTGGCTCATATTTAAACCCTATTATAGCCTCATTTCCCCACACCTCATTAGCCTCCATCCTCTTGGAACATTCTTGCAACCCTAATCCATCTTGTGCATCATTTCTAAGCTTGGGTGTAGGTGTTTTATGCCTTTGAAGTAGAAGGAAAGGAGTGGAGACTACCTTGGAAGAGTGAAGCTCTTTAGATCAAGAATCTCATTACCTTTTGGCATCATTTGGAGGTATAAAGTTTTGAACTTGGTGAAGTTTCATGTAGATCTTGTGTTGGGTTGGTTTTTGGTTCCTTGTTATCCCAAATGTGGTGATTCCTGAACATAGCATGTTTTTGACCCATTAATCTGTCCTTCAGACCTTAGGATGGGTCTTAAGTCATAAAAATGGGATCTAAGTGGTTGGTTTTGCTCCATACATCCTTTAGAGGTTTTGCTCCATACATCCTTTAGAGGGTCTTAATGGATTAAGATGTGGAGTTAAGCTCTTAATGGACATGCAAAGTCATAAAGTTGGAAACTTTATGAATCCAGAGGGTATTTTAGCCTTGGATATGAAAGTTGGATGTAAGGACTTATGACATTAAGCAGTTACTGAAGTTTGGGAGATCTGGGCGTATGCCCTGCATAATTTGAGTACATAGCGCGTACGTGGTCAGAGCCCTGGATAGCGGTCAACGATGGAGTACGCCCTATGTACCCTGGGAGTATACCCTGTGTACGTCTTCTGTGTCAACTCGGCTGAGTTGACTCGGCTGGGTTGACTAAGTTGACTAATGGATTTTTGACTAGTTTGACTTTGGACATTGACTTTTGTTGACTCCGTTGACTTTTGACCAAGTTTGACTGTAGGTCAAAGTTGAGGGTTTGGATTGGTGATTAAGATTTTATATGGTTCTAATGTTAGTGGATCCACGGGAGGAAGCAATGTAGCAGGGAGCGGATCGCGATATTCTCGAGTTTCTTCATTTCAGGTGAGTTTCGCCTCATTGTACCATGGGCCGAAGGCACCAATTGTGTCCCACTAGTTTTCAGTTATCTGTTAGTAGAGAGATGTCATAGGGACTGTATATAGTCATGTAAGATAGACTAAGGACTCTTGATTTAGCCTCTCTTACCCGTTCCTTGTTTGGTTGTGGTTCTAGGGTAGGGTTATCTGTCTACGTGGCTATTTCACCACTGATTATATATGTTCAGGATTTTCTTAGATTGTTGCTACTTAGTATGACACGGTGCTGTAGTGATCAGTTAGGTCTGTATTATGGTATCGAGTATGTTGATAGGCTGTAGTGATCGGTTAGGTCTGTATTCTGGTATCGAGTATGCTGATAGGCTATGGTGACCGGTTAGGTTTGTATTCTGGTATCGAGTATGCTGATAGGCGGTGGTGATCTGTTAGAACAGTATTCTGGTATTGAGTATGCTGTTAGGTTGTGGTGATCTATTAGGTCTGTATTTTGGTATCGAGTATGCTGGTAGGCTATGGTGATATGTTAGAGTTGTGTTTTGGTATCGAGTATCCTGATAGGCTATGGTGATATGTTAGATCTATATTCTGGTGTCGAGTATGTTGTTATGCTATAGTGATCTACTAGATCTGTTTTATGGTATTGAGTATATTGGTATGTTGTAGTGATCTGTTTGATCGGTATCCTGTTATGTAGGATGTGGCTATGTTATAGTGCACTGTTGGATCTGTATGTTATCTGTACTTACTGGTTATCATCTGGTAGAGTGCCCGAAGGACTATCTGTGGTTATGTAGGGTAGCCTGATAACTCTTGGTCTAGGCTCTCTTGCATGTTCCTTGTTTGGTTGTGGCTCTAGAGTAGGATCATATGTTCGAGTGGATATCTCACCTCTGGCTACTTGTGGTTACGCATTTCATAGAGGTTAGTTGGTACTGGGAATGTGTGCTTGAGAGGACTAGTAGGCGGAAGTGAGCTAAATGATTGGTTTTTACATGTTTTATGTGCCTGGTTGATACTTGTTTGGTTATATGTCGACATATGGTGGTGGTGGGTTGAGGCGGTCCTGCTTTGTGCTATAGGCCAAGATACTCTGTGCGGGCCTGTTGGGTTTTGAGCATTCTAACACTCCTATGGTGTACATGCAACCCTATAAACCTTGGATCTATGTTTTCTCTATTATACATGCAAATATTAACTATTCCAAGGTTTCATCCTAACTAGCATATTATGAAGCACCTATACTACAAAGTTCTAGTTAGATGACATACCTTTTGATGTAGCTTGATGTCTTCAAGCTTTAAGAGCTTAGCCCAATAGTGTGGAAGCCTCAAATGGAATCACAAATCACCAAAACACCTTGGAAGAACTTGAGAGAATATGTATGCACACTAAAATCGGCCCACTCTTATTTTCACACACTTGTGCCAATTTTTTGTGAGCCAAGGACCCCTTTATATATTATGGAGGATTAGGGTTACATCCATGTAAACCCTAATACCCATGACCTTTCATTTACATAGGATCCATGGGTTAAAAGCTCCATGGACCATCCATGAAAGCTTAGCCCAACCTAAATGAACTTGGCCCATTCCATATATATAAGAGTCCATATTTAATTAGTTCTTTTTGATCACTTAATTAATTCTAAATTAATTCTTGATCAATACTAATTAAATAATATGATTCCATATTAATATATTAAAACTTATAATATATTAATATAAATCATAAATATACTATTCTCAAAAGACTATCCATATAAATTGTGCCGGTGAAGTGCAACCCAAATGGACCATGCCGGGTCGGGTCAAGTACATACCAAATATAGTTATGGACTTAGACATTAATCCAACAGTCTCCCACTTGGATAAGTCTAAAACTATTATTGAGTATGACTTCAAAACCTAACTGGCAATCGTAGCTCTTAAAGCCGCTGTCGAACTCTGACCTTGTCAATGACTTGTCCATTAGATAAGGGATCATATATTCCTCCATTCTAGATATCATATGGACTGAGACATGGATTATAATCATTCTCTCTGTCCATTTGTTGTTTCCCGATTTTCGATTTATGATGACTGACTGATTGAACAAATCAAATTAGTCCTGGCTTGGCCAAGCACTCACATGTGTCATCGCTAAATCATCGAGGGGCCCACAGATATTGCTTTTATCCCGAAGGTAAAAGGAATGGATAAACTTCGACTCATATGGCTTGTTCTACTACTTGTTGAATCATACACAAAGGCACGTTTTATAACATCGAGTTACCAAATGCGTTTTTGTGCAATCAATGTATAACCAACTCATAGTAACAACTCATATCTCTAGGTTTGAAGAATATAAGATATTATCGTCTCATGATCACTCGTGATAAAATCCATGAAGTGATTCAAATGAGCGCGGGTTGAATCCAATACTCAGAACTTATGAGCACTCATGAGCAACTAATCTTTGGTAAACCTCAGATTGTCCTCGACAATTGCTTAATCATTTTAGTCATATCCAGTTCTAGACCTTTTCCATTCTTAATGCCTCTGGGCATTTGGAAAAATTTAGAAATGACAAATATTATAGCACATGTAATCGATCCTGTACCCAAAGCAAATGGTACACGATTCATGATGTCTCACATAAAGACATGATTCTAGACCAGTCTTTTGCTACAATATTTTTATTTGCCATGTTTTCAACATTTGACTATGAAGAGGGATGCCGTAATCATAATCGAATTTTGAGAACGCAATATATAGAATTTCCTTAAGTTGAACCAATCCAACATGAAATTCATATATATATTCTTGACTAAAGATGATTAAGGTCTCAATCTAAGCCTTTAGAACTGAAATGAAGTATATCCTCTCCCTTAATTATAGCAAAACAACTTTTTCAATCCCTGCAGCCTCACGAATTGAAACTTTTGTTTTCTATAATTAACATTGCTAACTTGCAACACTAACAATAATTATCATGCTCCCACTAACATGATGATTATTAGCATAACACTTATGCTCCCACTAGCTTTGACATGTACTCAGAAATCAGCTAGACTTCTAGAAATCAATACTTTATTGACTTTCTTACCAAAGTTTAGATTTCTGATACGAGATGCTTTGATAAAACTTTATCAAAATCATACACCTTTCCTTAGATAGCATGCATGTGTGTCTAAACAATTTCAGAACTATGAAAATGGATGCCGTAATCATAGTCTCAATTGTTTAGACCTTTTGTCATCTGCTTCAAATCTACTTGGTGGAAGTGTTTCCTCACCATCATTTTCATGAATCGGAGAGAAACCTTATGACCCTTAGATTTTATGGTGTATGTGTTCTTATCCATGTGAATCGTCAAAACCATAGTCACAAGACAAGGATAATGACAAATCCAAACTCATATGGACTAAACTTATGCAATCTTAACTTCTTGCCACCTGGCAGTACAGGGCCTGTCATTGCTTCCAAGTTGTTATGCAACCAATTGAGAACTTTCATAACTCCTATGCAAAGCCAACTTTAACTGGAATGGGCACAGAATATGTCAACACGATAGGTTATAAACCTCAAGTCGTGTGCTAGTGAAAAACCTCAGGTTTTATTCTTGATTAGTTCTTGAAATTCTTTTTAGGATCTTTAAGACTCCCACTATCCTCTTGACGTATAAGACTATCTTGCCAAATATTCAATAGATAGTGCAGATTCTTTATCAAGACAAACACTTCACACAATTGGCCTTAGTTGGTC